GATCGTCTCCTTATTTCCTCCAATACCAACCAAACTAATTTCTGCTGATTTCCCCTTTTCTTTGTAGGATTATGGGTCGAGGGCTAGCAGGGGAATGCAGAGGAGTTTCAATGATGTTGGGTCAACTGATGCTTCCACGCCACAGCCTCGCTCCAGGTCCTCCAGCATGAGGAAGAACGCGGATGAGATGTTTCTTCCAAGCCATTACAGCCCTGGTCTGCTCGATCTTCATTCTCTCGATACTGAATTGTTACCTGAGGTCGGCTCTGTTTCACTCTATTTAGTATTTTTCCTGCCATTCGGATGGGATGCCGCTATTTCATTTGTACAATCGCGCTTTTTTGGGTCAATGATTCTTTCTGCCAGACGGTTACAATTTTTCCTTGTTTTTCTCCTTGAATATTGGAGATGGATGAGATACATCCCCCACTTCTTTGTCAATATTGAGGAATGGAAGTTAGAATCAGCCTTTCATCAGCGTTTAATTCATTTTCCAATTTACATAACTTGTGATTCAATAAAGGAGTATTGGCTAAATCTCAAATATTTGATTCCCGTCCGAGTCATTTCAATTATATATGGTGTATAGATCGGAGTTGAGTCTGCTGATTCCAATTTGATTTCTCTTTGTTCGAATATATCTTGTATAAAATTATATTTTTTGATGAATTTTAAGAAAATGTAATGTAATGAAATGAAATGAATAATTTTAAAGATCAAATAAGAATATTTAGACCTTTTTCTAAATGATTGAACTGAGTTGTTTTTTTTTCCTTCTGAATTGAGTTGATGTTTTAAACATCAGATTTTATCATATGACATGATTCCTAAATCTAATAGAATTATTAAAAAATATATATGTATCTCCTTAAGTTCAACTATTGCTGCACCCTAACTCCTAACGTTAGACATCCTTTGGGTTTATAACATTATGGAGTCCTGTCCAATTTTTTTAATTATTATTATCAATATTTGCCTAGTATTAGTCTAACTATCATAAATTTAATATGCTCTGATTAACAAATTTTTTATCTTGTATTGCTAAATGAAATGCTTGAACCAAATTGATTCCTTTTACTCCATCTTTTAGATGCTACTTTCTATACTTAACAATGGATATTCATTTCATCAGACCACTTATCGTAAAAGCCTTGATGACTCCGAGTCCTTTTTCGCTGCCAGTAAGCTTCCTAACAAGGCTGGAGGTGCATCCGACAATAATCTTCTCAAAAACTTCTCAGTTGACAAGGAAAGAACCAACACTGTTGCTAAGATCAAAGTTGTGGTATGTCTCCTTGATACCATCTTAATTTATCTCTCTCAAATAAGCAATTCCAACGCCAAAGTCCTCCCTATAAGGCTTCTATCTGCTCTTGCTCCCACTCACGACTCATTCTAACATTGAGAAAAAAGAAATAAAGAAAGAGAAAAATGAAATGCTGCGATTGTACTGAAGGTTTTAAGCCTTCTTCTAT